CAACTGCGATTTCAGCGTGAGTGGCACCCCACTCCGGACAAGACAATGGTTCGAGGAGCCTAAAGGGGCGTCGACGGAAATTTGATATCTGTCCGGGTGAGAGCTCAGCAGAAGGTCCAACAGGGAAGGTGCACTGGAATCCGCGTAGGCGAAGTAACAATTGTGTCAGACCATGTGCCAAGGCAAAATCATGAACAGATCTACCCGCATGATCGGTTAAACGTGAACCAAGCCATTCGGCGTGACGGGCGTTAAAATCGCCGAGGATCACGATCTCTGCGGAGGGAATCTGCTGTAGCAACGAATCTGTAGCCATTTGGACGTGGTCGAAGAGTCGGTCTATTTCGGCATTACCGCTATGGGACCTATAGAGGCACCCGTAGACACGCGGATGGTCGTCGCTGTCTACGCGTAGCCAAAGGATGGACAGGTCCGAACCTTCAAGACTGCGCCGAGGCGTCGAGAACAGATGTCCTCTCTGACGTAAACGCAAACTCCAACCCGAGGCACAAAGGAGTGTTCCAGGTTGTACCCCGGGTAGGAGAGATACGAGACATCAACCGGAGAGGACACCTGAGTCTCGGACAGAAAGAGCTGAGCAGACTTCGCCGTCTCGAGATGGTAGTGGACGGCGAAAACAGAATGGGGGTGGATGGCTTTATTATTAGATGAAATAATGAAAGCCAAAACTTTGCTATCTAGTAATATCAGTGATAGAAGATTTGTGTGCGACTGGAAAGCCGTGCACATTTATTTATTTATTATAATAAATAAAGCGTAAAATTTCGTTTATTCTGTTAAAAACTGTGTTTATGTTACCTTACGGTAAAAAAACTATTCGAAAATATGGTTGACAGAATTCCCCTGGTCGTAACATCATGAAACAGCAAAGTAATTGATGATTTTAACATCAATTTTCATATTTTTCATAGACGTCACTATATATTTGATAATAAATGGCAGTGTTTAGAAATCTAAAATGTAGATCGTCAGCGTAATTTCAAATTATTAAACAAAGGTTAAAAATATTTTAAAACTTTATTTAAAAATATGGCATTTATTTGAAAAAACACCAGTCATCCTGCATACTTGTAACTAACAAAATCATATGTAATAGAAAATTAACATCTTAAGGAAGGAAAATACTAAACCTTTTTTTTTTTGAAGTTTCGTAATCGGATATAAATAAGCCTATAAGTTGTCCCGGGTTACTAACTACCTACATAGAAAATTTCATGGAAATCGGTCCAGTAGTTTTTGCGTGAATCTTGAATACACAGACATACAAATAAAAATTCTAACAACCACGATTTTTTATACGTGCTAGAGCCATGCTGTAGTATACGTGGTAGAGCCATGCTGCATTTATATTAGTAGTATAGTTGTAGCACGAATGGGTTGGCTCGACCGGGGAAGGACCACGCTCTCACAGAATACCTGCGTAAAATACTAGCTTTAGGGCCGATCTTCATTATAATTGCGTTCATAGTTCGTTCTCGGTCCGATCTCCGTCTGATAAAATATTATCAAGTAAAGAATATGTGTGTGCATTCATACTATCCGTACAGTCAAGTTTCGTTCGAATCCCATTCTAATAATAATAATAAATCAGACAGACATCGGACCAAGAACGAACTGTGAACGGCAAATGACGATTGGCCCTTACGCTGCTGTTTCGTATGGTGATTGTAGAGAACCGGAGATGCTTTTTACTGGAAACGAGGTAATCCATCTTAGTCGTCACGGGTGACAACGCATTTTCATTTTGATTTGTAACTGAAGATAGATGTAGATGTCTATGTGCCGCAGCAACCACTTACCATCAGGTGGAATGTGTACTCGTTTGTCACCCTTGTGTGTTGTCCTATTAAAAAATTGGCCTCAGTGTCTTTTAGACCCCTGGACTTGTTTTTTCAAACATACGAGTATATTAGAATTACAGACTCGACTTTTCTGTAAATAAATCTGTATTATTATATCTATAGATTAAAGTAATTGAATATTTATAATTTAAACAATTAAATCGGGATATACCAAACTTATCATGATTTTATATTTTAATTTTTGATTTTTTCGGGTTTTGTTCTGGGAATTGATGATTAATAATCATGCTTTCACGTGTGGTTCCTATTATATATAATAAACATTAATTATAAGTATTATTATTGGAAGGTCTCTAGAAAACTTAAAAAAAATATATATAGGTAAATAACTTTTCAAAGTAGGGTTGGTGGGAAACTACCAATTTCCGAAATCATATCCAACTCCGAGACAAACTTCGAGTTGGTAACACTGAGTCAGAATCAGATTTTAGTAAATTTTAATCCTAAGCGCTGGCAACTTTGTCATTGTGACGTCACAGTAAACGAGTGACGTGATAAAATGACTTTGTATTCATTTTTATAGCATCTACAAAAAACATTTTCGTAAAAATTGTACATAAAACAATAAATTGTAGCATAAATTTTATAAATAATATGGACTTTATGCAAGTTTTATTATAACAAGTATGTAATGAAGACAAAAGAAAATGGCTACCCTAAAGAAAAATATAATTTTAGGTGATAAATACAAAGTTATTCGCAGAATAGGCGGCGGAAGTTTCGGCGACATTTTTTTAGCATTAACTACAGATGATCAAAAGGTATTTACTAATTAGGTTATAAAATGCAAATATGAAGAGTTTTGCCCCGTGCAAGCCGGGCGAGTATTTCTGATCTAAACGAAAAATATCAAAAATAGCGTATTTTTAATGATAATTTTTACTACTATATACAAATTATTTACTTTTCATAAGTAAATAAAACATCTGCAGTAATTACCCCCGCCAATGATTTTATTAATAACTTATATGTCTTGTAATTCGATACCTGCATTTTTGTCCAGAGGCTATAATTGTCACTGGAATAACTTTTTTAGGAAAATTTATTATATATACTTGTCATAATAGTGCCAATCGTAATTTATCTATAGATCTCTACTCAATTAGACATTTGGGAAACGAATCAACTATTTCCACAGTTGTGTAATAAAAAAAAAATGGGTTGGCATCTGTTGTTTTTTTTTTCTATATTTAATCTCATTAATATGCCCTATGTTCAGCAGTGGACTTAAATAGTCTGTACTGCTAATGGTGATTTTTGGCCTTTTCTATGTTTAATTACACATGATTTTAACATTATATATAGTAGTACTTTATACCTGATTTATATAGTATTAATGTATTTTAACATTACTTTTACAACATTCATGTTGTTTGAGGAATCAAGGCAGAACATTGCTTCATGAATAAACTTTTCTGTAATCATAACCTTTTTTATTATATTATTGCCCACATACACAAAAACACTGCTTAATTTTAAGATCCTGATAAGTCTTGTGTTATCTCTATCACTTAAAGTCAAAATAGGTGTGACACCATGAGACTTAACATTTAAAAATTCATTTGCATTTGAGTATTTGGCCATATGTCTAGTTCTAAATTATCTTAATATAATTTGGTTTTCTGATACTTATAACAGAGTATTTATTTTTTATGTTGTGAAAAGAATTATGCATTATATACTCACTAATGTTTACAATAACTTAAAAAATATTTAAACTGACATACTTGTTTAACTGGTAAAGGGTTAGGTGCTGAGCATTCACTTAACTCTTTTAAACCACTTAAGAATCAAATAATACAAAGAATATTTATAAAAATGGTTAAATTTTAGCTTATACCTGCCAACTCATATATTTTTGTCTTGCATTAGAGAGAATAAACTGTGGTGCAGGAGTCGAACATAGTATTTAGATTATTATTTATAAAATTTAAATATTTCCTGCAGCCTCGGAGCCAAACATATTCTATCATTATAGATGTATGTTAAATGGCGTATTTTAAAAGGGCGTACTTAATGTTTTTCGGCAGTTTATACCAATCAACCCACTGTATACTACAAAAAACATACTTCATTAGCCTGTATAAGTCAATGCTGATCATGAGCTTCTTCTGTTGTAGGTTTAATTTGCTTCGATTGTTATGCATTCCAGGCTAGTTGAGGAGGGTAGTGCCAGATGTCTTGTACCCATGGCGCTGCTCCCTGTTCATTTAAAGCCATAGTTGTCACTTATTAGACCCATGAAATGAAATGAGTATAATAATAATGTAATGAATATATAAATACTTTGATAGATTTTCTTTCACTGCTAGCACACAGTCAATATATACATTTTTTGTAATTTATATATAAAACTTATTAATAAATGAACTTACAGTCTGTCTGCTGACAAGTGGCTATTGCCAAGTCCAAGAACACCTGCAACCAACTTTAAACAAAGAAGGTCAGAAATGCGCAGTTGCCTCTGGTGACTAGGATGTAATGTCTAACGCTTGTAATTATACTGGCTCTCTTTACTCTTCAAGATTGGAAAATAGCAGTGCAATACTACTATTTGGTGACAAAAAGAAGTATTCTATACAATTATAGTTTTTTTTTATAGAATAAGGGTGACAAACGAGCATACAGTCCACCTGATGGTAAGTGGATGCTGTGGCCTATATACATATACATTTATCCTCAATTAAGAATCAAAATGCAGATGCGCTGTGCCTGAAGACTAAGATGGAATGCCTCGTTTCCAGTAAATAAGGGTCTCCGGTCTTCCAAAATTTATAATGAAAGGTATATTTTGTACTTACAGCCAATTCTAGGGGATTTCTAAACATTTGTAAAATCGAGGCAATTGTTATATTGAGGTTCATTCTACTAAAGCTGTACCCTATATATGCATGTAGTGGCAGCGTAAGAATATACGCTATCCCATATCACCTCATGGCTGTCGTATGAGGTGACACAAGAAGCTGAACCAGGAGATGAACAGCAGCATCTTTCCTATGGCAAATATTCTCCCATTAAACCTATGTTCACCAGTGAACTTTTGATGGCTTTTTATAGACTATATAAAATCTTAGTAGTCAAGAAACCTTTTTTCAATTAAACATTGGCTTGTTTCAGGAGGTAGCAGTGAAAGTAGAATCCATAAAGGCCAGACACCCACAGCTGCTCTATGAGAGCAGAGTATACAAAATGCTCCAGGGGGGCGTTGGCATACCACATATAAGGTATGTAATGTATATATAAAAATCAATTGCTGTCCATTAGCCTTGCTAAAACTCTAAAACGGCTTAAACTAATTTGTATATCATTTGAGTGGGTCTTTGGATGGTTTAGATTCACAATTGGGCCCGGTAGTAGACACTGCTGCCGACATTAACAGAATCACCTGTGCAAAGTTATATGTGGTATGTGGTAGAGCCATGCTGCAGTTATATTAGAGGTATAGTTGTAGCACGAATGGGTCGGCTCGACCGAGGAAGTACCACGCTCTCACAGTATACCAGCGTCAAATAGTAGCTTAATTCTGCTGTATTTCGTATGGTGACTGTAGAGAACCAGACACCCCTTTTTACTGTAAACGAGGCATTCTATCTTAGTCCTCATGGGTGACAACGCATCTACATTTTGATTCATAACAGAAGAAGAGAGCGACAACTTACCATCAGGTGGACTGTGTGCTCGATTGTCACCCTATCCTATAAAAAAAGCCAAGGCGGATTGCAAGTATTTTATAATTTTGCTGTCTGAGATATTCAGAGGTTGTTAACAGATCATATAGGTCGCTTCAAAATACGATTTTTAGCCACCTGCATCCATTAATACAACATCCTTAATAATAATATCTTTTTAAGTGTCAATAAGTTATCGCTTGATGCAATGGGAGTCATTCACTTTTTTGTTGCACTTGCCAAAATGAGACTTGACTGGACGCAGTCTACTTTATAGATTATTAGATATTTGTGCCATATGGACTGACCCATAGCTATTTTAGCATACAGCACTTCAAGGAGTAAAACCTTATTTATTATCCTTAACAAAATAAAGGTATTCTTTCTAATTTTTCCTTTTACGTATTACTAAAAACAATGGCTTTCATTAAACTCTTTGTGATTTGATGACAGACAATGTAATATTTGTATTATTTGGTAACTTATTTTGCTGTGTAGTGGCTGTGTAAGATGATCTGCTATTCCACATCATCCTGTGGATATTGTGACAGGACGAAACTGAAATAGAAGCTGGGTAGTATCATCACCTTGATAACAACTTAATCTGCCTATGAGGCACTCTATTTTGAGCAGTGTACTTTTGCAGGCTTTAATGAAATGATAATGGATGAAATCGGTATGCTAGTGAAGATCGAGTTGGAGAAAAGTAGCCGCTCAGCTGTTTTATTGGCTATTGTTTTTTGACATAAATCAAAACAATGTATTGCAAAGAAATTAAAAAATTATAAATATAGCGATCCGCTCTGATTTCGCATGGGTGATTTCTGAATCTCGACAAGAGCGCCACCTATCTGGTCCAATTTTGAATTTAGGATCCGGTGACCCACTTAAACACAATAAATTTCAATTAAAATTGGTCCAGCTGTGTAGAGGGAGATTCAAGTGATTAGTTTTTAAGTTGATGCTAAGGCATATAGACTAAAGAAGAATTAAGCCTTGACTTCAAGACTATGTAAAATTATTTTCACCCCACTACAAAACGAAAGAAGAGGTTCACAATTCGACAGTATTTTCTTTTTAATTACCTCAAAACTTTTTTCTAGGTGAACCGATTTGATGATTTTTTTTTATTTGAAAGTTGGTCTCTTGGATCTGATCTATAGTTTTCAAGTTATCCTTAATAATGCGTATTTTAATTGACTTTGAATACATTAATGATGTTCTCATTTTATTTCTATTGAAGTCGGTTGTACAATTTTTTTTTAATTTACCACTTGTTTTTTTAGTTACTTGAAGTAATCTTTTATTTTAAATTAAAATGTTATTTTCCTGTAATGTTATTTTTCGAACTTGAGTGCAATAAGCGATATCACAAATATTAATGTCCTCACCTTTTCACCCGCTATTTTGCTACTCTTAGGAGTGGATGTTTTTTTCCAGATGTATATGGAACCTAACTCCATATATACATGTTTAATAAGATAAGAATTAAGATTGGGTCACAATATTGAAAAATAAATGCATAACAAAACATTTAACAACATACAGTCAAACTGGGAACATCCTCTTTTTAATTTAGCTGAAATACTAATAAAAAAAGTTGTTTACTCAAAAAATATATTACTTTTAATTATTTTTCTGTTCATAATATTTAGAAAAATATCGAAATAACTGCTTTTACGCGCGTTATACGTGAGCGAATGCGCGGTGATGATGAATGTTCAAGTCGGACACAGATCCTAAATAAATAAAGAGAGAGAAATATTCTTGTTATAAGTAAAACTGTTAATCAAATATGATTATATTTACTAAATCACACCTTATCTTAAATATTTATTATAAAACATATAAACTCAGCACTATCCAACTTAGACTAGAAGACCCGCCCAACTTAATTTCTTCCAAAAGTCAACTGTTGAACTAAGACCGGCACCATAATTTGCCTTATATGAGAATATTTGCCATTGTTACCACGCTTGGCCGGTGGGTTGGTAAATGCGGTTGTTTTTATTTTGTTACCAGAAAGATGCTGTTCTCACTCTCCTGTTTTCCCCATCAGTCTCCTCTTACGACACCCACGGATAATATAGGGGTATGTGTCATTCATTCATTTCTAATAACCTGTTCATTCAAGTATTGATTATTCTTACGAACTGGGTTATTCGGGTCAATCGTTTAAACGGATCATTTTTGAGTGTCAGTACTTTGTGATCTGTGAGACGCACTCGATGATGTAGGTTGTCGGACATTAAGTATACTCTGGTACGTAGGTCCTGTCAATCGTTTGATTCGGAACGTTCAAAAAATGTAATTGCATTCATCAATACTTTGATGTGACCCGGGACAAATGAACGTATCATTTACGATTGTCACATGAGCACATGACTAATATATTGGGTAGTGGATTCTCATCGCCGGTACTACACGTCAGTGGGTTTAATAATACTGTATATAATAATAATTATAATATTTTGTGTCAAGACTTTGTTGGCGCAGATGAACTGGTATTGCAATCTTTTTGGGTTTTAAAGTTAGAAAGTTAATTTTGTTTTGATGCTATTTATTTAAGTTGTTTACACAATACGTGAAGTATTACGTCAATAAAGTACTAAAAATACTAAGAATTAAGTTCTTTCGAGTGGTATGATATCTAAATAAAAACACAATAAATACTTCTCATTACCGTACAGTCTACATGTTACAGCCTATTAAAGTCACTGCTGAACATATTTATTTATTTATATTTCCTACTAACATCTACCATTACAGGGAAAACCTAAATCGATAAATGTAGCATCTCAATTCAAAAAGTAACAATTCAAATGGTAAAAGATTACTAATTACAACACAATAATTAATTTAAATAACAATACATAATAATTAATTTCAATGACAATACATTACAATCAATTGTATAATACAATTTAAGAATAACATATTGTAAATAATGTCACTTTTGCGAACCCACTCCGTGAACACGAAAATAAGTCCAACTTCTCAGCTACCAAATTTAGTATGTGTATCGTTCGCGTGAGGGGGGGTATTGCGAACCAGTTTAGTCCTGCCGCGTGGCATCGCGAGCAAGCTCGGCCGTCGTCGCCGCTGTACATTACCTATCAGGCACGCATAAGCCTATCCACTGCAGCACACCCGGGTTGCTGATGTAACCACGGAACACCCTTAAAATGTAGATTACCAGCGCTAGATCTCTTCTAGTTTCCAACTTGTTGTATCCAACCATACCTAAAACAAACAGGGTTGGATACATCAACGGGTAGGATGGATAAACCCCATAAAGCTTATGATATATAAATCGCGTGAATTTATTCTGAATGCGCTCCAGCATAAGATTGTATTTATTTTCATGTGGAGCCCATATTGCTGAGTTACACTCCAGCTGACTCCTTACTAGAGCATCATACAGCACTGAGATTGCTTTAATGTTGGTAAATTTTACTGCTCTGCGAATGATAAACCCTAGTCGTTTATAAGTTTTCTTACATATATTCATGATGTGCTCCCGGAATGTCAGGGTAGGCCTCCCCCACAGACCAACTATGGCAAATATGCCCCTGCTCATTGGGGTGATATTTGCCATAGTTGCCACACAAGCTTGGCAACCGTAGTTATTTATTTTTACGCGTTATTATAAACACGCTGCTGCCCATCTCCATATTTGTTACCCTCTGCCGGCGACAGCACCCAACACTTCCTAAACCCACGGGATGATATAGGCTAGTGGATATTGTTACACCACCACCACCAAGGCCTTTATTACGCTAGTTTTTTTCAATTCCTGATACTATAGTTGAAAAAAATCTTTATTAAAAAATTAAAACTAGTTTTAATTTTTTGTTTCGTAATGTTTATGGCCAATGTTAAGTATGGTTATTTATAGTTATACCTACGAGTAAGCTCAAGATCGCTCAGATAGCTATGGAGACGATGCTCGGAGTTTTTCTACATGATAGATATCGTAATGAGGTATCCCTAGTAAAACTAGAGTAACCGACATGGCCTAACGGATCTTAATTCTTAATGATCTCAGATGATGGTGTGACAGTGGGCCGGCTATATAGTGCGACGAACCGATAACCGATTGAGCAGAAAAAATTTTTGGAGTGGCAGCAACAGTCCCTAACTGTATGAAGTGATGACTTGGTAATACTATTACTTGTAATATATATATATATATATATATATATATATATATATATATATATATATATATATATATATGTATTGTATATTTGACAAGGCACTTGAATGGTACCTCAATTATTAGGCCAGAATTCCATATTATTATAAAAGCGGTGTTTATTTACTACATTTTTCTTCAAAATTTTAAAGTGTACGGTTCAAAATTTATTGAAAACAATTTATTTGTTTCGTTTTACAAATGTACTAAGTTCAAGGTCCGACACAAACATTGTCCATTTTATAAACCAGTTATCAAAAACTTTATAAACCAATTTATTATTCCTAATTAAATTTGAACATACAACTTATATTGGAAATTCAATAGGCTTGGTTCATTTTTTTTATTAGCGTATTAC